GTGTAATGAGCTCGAACCATTGTGTATTTAACTCAAATCATTGTGTATTTAACTTGAATACTACAACTACTACTACTAGAACTAGCTACTAGAGGCTCCGTCCTTAACTATAGGTCATTCGTAAACTGGGCGTTCTTAACTTGGGGACTCCCTGTATCATACAATAATACTGTTCCGGCTTATATACAAATTTGACTTGAGGACGGGCCTTGAGAACAGAACTTGTTCTGAAACTGAGGACTACCTGTACTGTATAAGTAGTATTGGGTAATGAACTCAAACCACTGTGTATTTAACTCAAATTTTGCTACTGTAGCCTCCATCCGTAACTACGGGTCGTCCATAAACTGGGCATTCTTAACCCGGGGACTCCCTGTAATCAGCACCCTTATCCCCCCCACCTCCCCTTCTGTTTTTCAGCCACATCTACACAAGATAGTCAACAGCTCCATGGAACTTGCGCAGACAGCTAAGGAACCCTATAATTATTTCTTGCTTCTCAGAGCCCTTTTCCGATCTATTGGAGGAGGGAGCCACGACCTCTTGTATCAGGAATTTTTGCCCTTGTTACCTAACTTACTACAAGGTCAGTAGACCTCTAAGCTCATCAAACACTCCCCCCCATCCACCCCCCATATATCTCTTTAGGTCAGTAGTTTTTGGTAGCGGACTTAATGTTTTGTTCTTGCCCCCCGATGCCATTCAGGTCTCAACATGCTCCAGAGCGGCTTGCACAAGCAGCACATGAAAGATTTATTTGTTGAGCTTTGCTTGACTGTCCCGGTTCGCCTCAGCTCCCTCCTTCCCTATCTACCGATGCTGATGGATCCTTTGGTATCGGCTTTAAATGGATCCCAGACACTAGTCAGCCAGGGTCTGCGCACTCTGGAGCTGTGTGTAGATAATCTGCAGCCAGATTTCCTGTACGATCACATTCAACCCGTCCGAGCTGAACTGATGCAGGTAAAGGTGTAATTATGGGAATGGGGCTGTAGGAGTCGCCCTTTGCTTGGTTATTCAGAAAGTTTTGCTTTTGCGCCGGTCATGTCTCAGATTGTGATTCAAGGTGGATGGCGGTCTGATAAACAGGAGGCAAGTTTTTTTTGAGGAAGGTGCTGCTAATGGAAAGTTGTGGTATACAACTACTGTGTAAATTGTTGGTGATCAGTCCAAGAGCGGCAGGGAGAATAGCTTGGCCTGTTTTAGACCTGTTGAATTGTAACAGGGAAAATGTCGTAAAACTGTAACTTGCAAGAATTCCCACTAGCTAGGAAGAACGGTTTCTTTATTTTTCACAGTATATTTATTCTGGAGGTTTTATACTTCCCTGAAGAGCCACCATCCAGAATGGGTTTCAAAAAGTTTTGAAAGCCCAGAGTTTCAACATCCTTCTGAACTGCCCCTTGATGTTCTACCCGCTTGCTTCTTAGGCTCTGTGGCGCACACTGCGCAATCCTGCAGAGACGATTTCTCACGTGGCTTATCGCGTGCTGGGCAAATTCGGTGGAAGCAACAGGAAAATGCTGAAGGAGTCGCAGAAGTTGCACTACGTGGTGACCGAGATTCAAGGGCCCAGTATTACGGCAGAGTTCTCTGACTGTAAAGCATCCATTCAGCTCCCTATGGAGAAGGTAATGTCTACCTTGAGATCCTTCTGGTTAGGGGTATTCAGCCTGAAAGTCTGCATTTATACGTAGATCCTGGTGGCCTTGAATGGCGAGTCCTATTTGACTTCTGGTGAGAACGAAGCATTTTTCTTGGAATGAGACAGATCCGTTTTGCCATCACCTCCTACGAGGGTGGAGATAGACAGACAGACAGACAGACAGATACCCTATCCAGCCTACAGCCTTTATACATACATCTAATTAATATTCTGCATCCAGGCAGAACATTTTAGGATCACCAGAAAATTGGGAAACCTTTCTTGATGAAAAAGTCAGCCTTTGTCTGGAGTGAAGCACTCTTGGATTGGGTTCACAAAACATTCTAAGCCATAGTTGGCTTAAACCTAGCTTAAGGAATAACCACCATTGGCTGGGTACATGCCATATGCCCAACAGCCATAGGGGCTGGGTTTGTCCAACACACCAAGCCCAAATCGAACAGACCACCATTGGGGTCTACAGTGGGGGGGATGTCACCAAGGGGGTGAATATGGCATAGCGATGTGAGCCCTGTCCCTTTTGTACAGCCTGCGCGAAAGGGGTGGGGCTTGCATCATCGTGCTGCAAACACCATTTCATCCTTTTTGACGTCCATTTTCCCCCCTCCCCGCAGACCCTGCCACAGAGCAGCATCTGTCTATGCCCTGCCTCCCCTCCTGTTGAGTTTCTATCTTGTACAAATGCTCTGTTGTCGTTTTCCAATATTGTGGTGCTTTAGGGTTTTTTACTGGTTGACCAAGAGAGATTCTTTCTTAGGCCATTGAGACTGCCTTGGACTGCTTGAAGAGCGCAAACACGGAGCCCTACTATCGGAGACAAGCTTGGGAAGTCATCAAGTGCTTTCTGGTCGCCATGATGAGCCTAGATGATAACAAGCATGCTTTGTATCAGCTTCTTGCACATCCCAAGTAAGAGTACAGGTGGATCAAGTTGACACTGGCAAGCTGGGCCTTGTTCTCGCAGTGGCCCAGAGCAGTCTGTCCAATCTGAGCGCCCTTTGGAGGCGTCAACTTCCCTTCCCAGCATCCCCTAGCTAGTGTGGCCATTTCTGAGAATTCTGGGAGTTGGAGGCTGCCTAAGGCGGGGAAGGCTGGCCAGATCATATGGGGATAATGTAAAAGGGAAGGAAATCAGTTTGGCAAAGAGCTGTCATTGATCGGATTCAGATGTTGAGTTAAGCTACAATGTCGTTTGTTTGATTTTTGCTTTTAGGACAGTGGCATTGCCGTTGTTAACTAGGATGTATGGCTAGGTGTTGTGTGTAAAGCAGAGCCCTCTAGCTTTTTCAATAAATCCTGATTAAAATGAACCCATGAGGCTAAATAGGACCTTTTAGCCATTATGACGATTTTCAGTATAGAACACTAAGCCATAATGCTGGGTTTCTAATTATGCAAGGCTGAGAAGCCACATGATAGTTTATCGCTGTGCATGAACCAAGACTGGATTCTGTTAGTTTGATTTAATGATTAATATTGGCTGCAGCCTAATGCAACATGCGAGCTGCCTTTTATGGATGCTAGCTTGTGGTCTGCTGAAGGTTTCTCTGATTCCTTGCTTGGCTCCAACAGTTTTCTCCCATCCTTCAGAGTAAATTCATGTGATTCTTCTTGGGTCAGTAACAAACTGTTACTTTGGTTTTGGCAGCTTTACCGAGAAATCAATTCCCAGCGTGATCATTTCCCATCGGTACAAGGCCCAGGACACGCCTGCCCGTAAAACCTTTGAGCAGGCCCTGACCGGGGCCTTCATGTCAGCGGTGATCAAAGACCTGCGACCCAGCGCGCTGCCTTTCGTAGCCAGCCTAATCCGTCATTACACCATGGTGGCTGTAGCTCAGCAGTGTGGTAAGAATTCAGGGATGCGCCAGACATAACAATTACCTATGTTGCTCCTGATTTGCCTGTAGGTATAGAGACTAGCATGTAAGAAATAGAAGTCATTGTTATGTAGTTTTAATTTGGGGAGGAGGAAAGATGACTATAAATGTAGACCTGACCCAGCGCTTTCTAGGTATGTTGATGTTGAAGCTTCTAGAGCAGTGTTTCTCAGCCTTGGCAACTTTCAGATGCGTGGATTTCAACTCCCAGAATTCTGGGAGTTGAAGTCCACGCATCTGAAAGTTGCCAAGGCTGAGAAACACTGTTCTAGAGTTTTCAACCAGCAGGGTCAAAGACTAAATTCTTGACATTGTAATTCCAACACATCTGGAATTGCAATCCTACATGTACCAGGTTGGGAGAGGTTGTGATATAAGTCTGGGGTTCTTAGGGCTCTGCAGCGATTTGACTGCAAAGATCTAGTGTTAGTTGGACTCTGCAAAGGTTTGACTTAAAGTGTTAGTTGGAAGATGATTTGATCAAATTACCCCTTTGAATGGAATTGCAAGATCAGTTTGAATCGGGCCTTTTGAATCAATTTGAAGATTCAGTAGGCATCTGCACGGGTTGGATCAACCCAACGGATTGCAAATTTGGCTGATTTTCACACTCCTATCCATAGTTGGGGGTGGACGACATAGAGGGAGTCAACCTGGTTTTTGCTTTACTCACTATGCTAGATATTGGCTGTTATCAGGGAAGTGAGTTCTGCACATGAATCAGAATGAAAAATATGATTATTTTAGCATGCAGCTTCAGTGTAAATAAATGTGGGGAAGATTGGTTACCTGGAATGGAATGATTGAGATGGTCTGTGAGAAGAGGCTTGGCTTAAATGGTTTGGCTTAATCAAGAAGCTTACCTAAGGTTATAGAACAGAGTGCATCTGTTGCCACTCTGGATGTTGTTGAAAGATGACTCTCAACCCTTAATGTTGGCTAATGCTGCTGGGGACTTGTTCAGCAACATCTGGAAGGCCTCAGTTCCCTGTTTTGGGGGAGGAGAATTTTAGCATCCCCTAGCCACAATGGCTAAGTTGAAGCTCCTGTTCAGAAGCATTGAGAGGGAGGGAGGGAGGGAAGACTTTATTATGTTCGTGGCCAAAACTGAAAATGAGTTGCTTGAAGGACAATAAGAAGAGGATTTTGTTAATATCATCCTTACTAGTTTACTGGAAGCGTCTCATTCAGCCTTTGCAGGTTGGTCACCAGGATGCTGGATGTGGAGGGCTCTGTCTCTCTTTCAGCAAGACTGCCCACTTGCTCTTCTTTAATGGAAGACTCTTCTTCCCCCTCCCCTTCCCCCCACTTTTGCTCTTCTTGCTGTGTGGTCCATCCCCAGGCCCTTTCCTGCTCCAGTGTTATCAGGTGGGAAGCCAGCCCAGCACAGCCATGTTTCACAGTGAAGAAAACGGATCGAGAGGCATGGATCCCTTGGTGCTGATCGATGCCATCGCCATCTGCATGGCTTACGAGGAGAAGGAGCTTTGCAAAATAGGAGAGGTGGCCTTGGCTGTGATCTTCGATGTGGCCAGCATCATTCTGGGATCAAAGGAACGGGTAACCAGTGGGATGCGGCCATCATCTTGTTCTTCAAAACCGGGGCCTGGTTCCTGGCCCTTTGGTTGACCAACATTTCTTTCTGACCTCCAGGCTTGCCAGCTGCCCTTGTTTTCATACATCGTGGAACGCCTGTGTGCGTGTTGCTACGAACAAGCCTGGTATGCTAAGCTTGGCGGGGTGGTGTCGATCAAGTTCCTCATGGAACGCCTGCCTCTCATTTGGGTCCTCCAGAACCAGCAGACGTTCCTCAAGGCATTGCTCTTTGTCATGATGGACCTGACAGGAGAGGTATTTTTCACTGGCTTTTTATAGCTGGCCTCCCTTTCCTTGTCCCCTCTCGTGACTTTCACTCCAGCTGCCTTTTCTAGCCAGCTTTTGTTTAACTAGTTTGTGGACAAGCCAGGGTGGAATGGGTCACCTCTGCTAAGCCCAAACCAAACATATTATGCATCGATCTGGGCAGGGTGCAGTCAAAAAAGTGTGATGCGCATGAAAAACAGGCTTCAGTTGCACTGTTGTGGCTGCCCACTTCTTTGACCACACCTTCAGACACCTCTGGTACAGGGCTAAACTGGAAGGAACCTAGAGCTGCAGGGGCAAGTAATGTTTCAAATGGACGGAGCCACAATTGTTATATTTTTCCTTCCTGGGGAAGGAGTTTTGAGATTGCTCATCATTCTTAAGCGTTTTTAACCTTTTTGCCATTTTCTTGCATCTCAGAATTGTGAAAAACTGGCACAACCAACATGATTTGTGTAGTTAGTCAGAGGGTGTTCTGGAGGATCACGGGATTGGAGGCTGCAGGCTGTAAACTTCCCAGCTTGGTTTGACGTGGGAAATAATTGCATTGTGGAGTTGGATAAAAAAATAATGTTTAAGATACCTGATTAAATGCTGCATTCTCCTGGGTTCAGGAGCAGATCCGTTCTCACTTTTAATTGCAGAGGCCTCCATCTGATCCTCAAGTTAGCATTTCCTTGCCCACCCAGGTTTCCAACGGGGCTGTTGCCATGGCCAAGACGACTCTTGAGCAGCTGTTGATCAGATGCGCGACGCTGTTGAAAGAAGAGGAGAAAACGGACGACATCCTTGCAGCCCAGGAAAAGTCGTTCCACCATGTCACCCATGACCTGGTGCGAGAAGTGACCTCACCAAACTCCACTGTGAGAAAGCAAGCAATGCATTCCTTGCAGGTGGTCGCCCAAGTCACGGGGAAGAGCGTCACTGCAATCATGGAGCCTCATAAAGAGGTGAGGCTGCGCATTGTCGGCCTGCAGCTGGAAAGTCGAAGCGTGAATGCTTTCTTGCAGTATTGTTTCTAAGAAAAGTCTCCGTGCAGGTCGAAAAGTGGCATTGCATGGGATTTATTGAGCTTTGAATGCGAGATAATTGGCTCGTTGCTTTCAAGGATCTTTTCCACATAGATTGAGCGTTCAAATGTAATGCTGCTGTTCTGTTCTCTGAGGGCTGAACATGGCTTGAGTGACGAACGGGGAAACAACCAGAGAGGTGGTGGAACCAAGCCAGCAAGGCCATGTCTCTGCTGTCTTCTAGGTTCTCCAAGACATGGTTCCTCCGAAGAAGCATCTGCTCAGACACCAGCCTGCAAACGCCCAGATTGGTTTGATGGAGGGGAATACATTTTGCACCACCCTGCAACCTCGGCTTTTTACAATGGACCTTAATGTGGTGGAGCACAAAGTATTTTATACAGAGGTATTTTCCTTTGGTGCTCTCAGATCTTTTCTAAAATTGACCCCTGTAAATTGGCAGTCCTGTGCATGCTTTGATTAGCGTTGAGCGAGAAAGACTGGCATTCATGAATGCTGTTAAATTTGTGCATCAGCAACATACCTCTGCTTGGATTTTTTCCCCCTAATGTATTAGGCTTTTTAATGTTAAAACAGAGATTATTAATCTTGGATCCACAGATCCCCTGGGGATCCATAGATTTCAGAGGGTTCGTGAACTTGGATGGGAAAAAAAGTACCGCTTGGCGTTTACTAATTTCTAACTGAAATTTAGATTTTCATTTAATAATGAATATGGGCGAGCAAGTAATTTATCGTTTCTAAACCTCATACGTTTCACCAGACTCTCTCTCCCCAAGGGATCCATGGCGCCAAAAGGTTAAGAATCCCTATTCAAAGATGGTTGATTTTTTTTTTCTTTTGCCCTGTTTTCATTTTTGATACGCTGAACAAATCGTTCCTAGGGAGCTTTTCATCTTTTCAACTGTCCTCACTTTTTATGGTATGCAGTGTAGATGTGAATCAAGAACCAGCCAGCATCTTTCCAGATGTGTAGGATGAAAGGAATTCTGGGGAATGAAGTTCAGCACTTAAAGAACTGAAGTTGGATTATCAGACTGAGCCATGTTCCAGAGTTGTTCAAGAGAGGGAAAAAAGGGTGTGCGGAATTTGGAATTGTCATTATAAGCTGGACTAGACCAAGTGGTTGGATCTATTCATGAAGGAAAGTCTAGCACGCTGTAATACTCTTGAAGACAGTATTGGGTTGAGAGTAGCGTATCTTCAAACACCAGTTGTAGAGGAACATAGGGAAAAGGGATCATTCATCTCCTACTCATGAATGTTTCAGATGCATCTAGTAGGCCAATGTGACAAACAGAATATTAGACTGAGATGGGCCTTGGTGTTATCCAGTGGGGTTGTTTTTATATTTTTCTGTGGTTGAATCAGTAAAACAGCACGGAGTGATGGGAGAGGTTTCCAAAATGTAACAGGTGATTCTCTGGGGAAGAAACAGTGTACTAGTACGTTCAGCTTCAAAATGTCTTACTAAGTTAATGAAGCAATTTAATTCTGGAGATCATGTTGGCGTTTCGATGGTTTCTCTTCCAGCCTGGGCTGGGTCCAAAGCCAACGGGCTAAGTTTTCTTCTCTTTGAACTTTCAGCTGCTGAATTTGTGTGAGGCTGAAGACTGTGCCTTGATGAAATTGCCCTGTTACAAGAGTCTTCCTTCTTTGGTGCCCCTTCGAATTGCAGCACTGAGTAAGTTTATCAAGCTTTCAAGCTGGCTAGTACAGGTTTACTGGATAAATGGCACCCGTTCCAAGGCTAAGGACAGCTGGGTTGAAAAAGATTTGGTGTTTGTTGGCTCAACGGCTTCCCCTGACCCTGGCATACAATTTCCAGGATTCCTAGCCAAAATTATTAGCTGTGCCCAAATAGCCGGAGGGCACTAGGTTGGAAATGCAGCCCTCTGGCATCTCTACTTCATCATGGATCCCCTCCTTTTTTTGTCAGAGAAAGCTTTTCCACTGTTGCTGTTTTTTCTTTCCCTTCATTTATGAAATGAAGAAGTCAACCTTCTACAACTGAAGTGTATCCCGAAATGTGGACTTTAACTCCCAGAATTCTCAGAGGTGGCTAGCAAGGAATTCTGGGCATTTAATTCCACCTGCTTGGAGAGCATCCCACTTGGGGAAGGCTACCATTAGCAGAAATGAAGTCGCAAGTGTTAGCTGTATGAGTGAAAAGAGCTTTTGTAGGGCATGGCCTGAATTCCTGCCTTATGTTGCTTGAATCAAGTTGTTGCAAACTGCTGAGAAATCTGTTGGGAAAAACTCAGTAGTGAAGTCCAGCTGTGGGAGTAGCCCACACAAATCCATAATATATGTGCAAATAGACATGGGTGTCTGGGTTATTATGGTCCAGAACCAGAGTTCCAGTTGATCTTTCTCTTTTGATCTATCTGTTAAGAACTTAGATCTATCTGTTCTTGAAGTCTGTTGCTCCTGGCAGAAGCTCTTCAGCGCTTCCTAATTTGAAGAGAGATCAAAAGGGTGTTAGGTGGCAGAACGTCCATCGCGAGAGCCTCGTTTTGGACTGTTTGGGTTCTGGGTTTTGAATTCCCACTTAAGAAGGGGACCTGCTTTCCTCTGATTCCCCACAGATGCCTTGGCTGCCTGCAACTACTTGCCCCAGTCCCGAGAGAAAATCATCGGAGCTCTCTTCAAGGCCCTCAATTCGACGAACAACGAGCTTCAGGAAGCCGGTGAAGCATGCATGCGAAAGGTTCGTGGCCGGGAAACCCAGCTCTTCTCTCTTGGCCTCCTTTCCTTTCTTTTTCAGCCCCAGAACTTGCGAGAAAGCAGACGGTTCCTGAGGCCAGTGGAGTCTCTGTCGAGATCTTGGTTGCGGGAAGCCGCTATAATGGGGGCACCGTGAAGCGGATGGGATGGGGACATGGCTTGACTTTGGGTGTCCGCTTCTCCAGGGCCTCTGAAATGCCTGGTGCTACCTCCCAAACTGAGAACAAGCATTTCCCTCAGATGCTTTCTCCGTGCCACGTTTACCACCCACCCGTATAGTCTTGAACGAAGGCGGTTGGTGTAGCTATAATGTCCCTTTAATGGATCTTTAATTGTCCTGCCCCAAACTGTTAAAGTAACTGCTGATGGGTGCCTGTGGGCTGCGTAATATTCAGAGCTAACAGCAGGGCTCAGACCGTGCATCTTAACCTTAGAGAAACAAGCAGTGGGCTTCCTTTTCTGGATGTGGGCACAGTGACTTTTTTTCCCCCTAAGCAGTTGGCAAAGTGAGTTAAATGTCTGATGTCTTGATTGGCAGGGATTACATGGCTGAGAGACTGTGGTTAATTAGCTACGGGAGTTTGCTAACAGCGAGAGCCAGCATTACATATTGGTTAGAGCAGTGGTAGAGCAGTGTTTCTCAATCTCAGCAACTTTAAGCTGTGTGGACTTCAACTCCCAGAATTCCCCAGCCAGCCCGCCCTCCTCGCTCGGGGATTTCCGGGCCGTGTGAGCCCACACACTAACATTGCAGGGGATGAGAGAAACACGTCCTTCCCCCCTCCTGCCACCATCTTA